CTCTGCTATTTTTCCGTGGGGTTTTTAAGTAAATGGAAGTGTAGAAGAGCCTAATATGAGACAATAGTGAGGAATATTGGAGTTTTTTTATGGTACTATACTGTCACTTTCTAGTTCCAGAGCATTGGTGCTGGTTCACCGTAACGTGGTCCCTCGCTTCACACGTGCGAAAGCACTGCATGTCTTCCAGTCCGGATGTCACAAGTCATATGCGGTCATCGCAATGACATTATATGCTACGTACTACACCATAAACCGTTTATCCATAGAAACAGCTACCATGTATGCCCCGAGTTCGGATTTCAACTATATTGTTTGGATTACAATCAAGTTTGTGCGACTAAACGTGACCGTTGTGATTGGAGGACGAGCTTAGACAAACATCGATCTATCAGACCTCATCAACCAATGTGCCGAGCTGGACCCACTTCATCATGGACAAAATTCTGGATCCGAAATCCAGCCATTCAAGAAACGCCACGCTCTGTAACGAAACAAACCTTGATTGGTCCGCAAATATTGTGTCGAGTGTTTGAGTAACAAACCTGGATTCGCTTAGGGTGGGGTTTTTACACATTTCGCAACTCGGTCACATTGGGCAGATTGAGTTTGTTATGATTTTCGTAAACTTTTCGAGGTTCCCGCTCTACGGCCCTAACTTTTGTCAACGCCACAACCTGACGAATTGCTAAATAATGCAAATGTAAACAGTTCGACCCTATTCTTAGTCTATTGCGTTGTTTATTATAGGAACATGCAACTTCGTGTTGAAATCAGGGTTGAGACGCGTGCGACATGGCGGGAGACGGATGCTTGCAGCATACGCTAACGTGGCCGACCATGAACAGTACATATCAAACAAAGCTCCAATAATTATGAAAACTCTATAGTCCTCTTTGCCCGTAGCGTACCGCCATTATGCCCTGTACGCCATTTTTTACGAGCTGCGTTTTGGGAGTCTCTCGCATATGATCAGTACAAGGACAGTTGTATATCCGGATGTACTGTACAGTATGCCTGGCCTGGGCCATCCGAGCATGCCAGTATAGTAAGTGGCTGTCATGACTCACGTTGTCCGATAGCAAGCTTGTAAATATCGTGACATCATCTCATGGCTCGTAAAGCAGCGCACGTGTTGGTTGCTGATTTCTGAAGAAGAAAGAAGAAGCAGACGCGATGGCTCATTGACTCAGAAGTTTCAGATACTTTAGTCAGGAGAGCTTGCCAAAAAAACCAACTTCATCCTTTTAGAAAATCTCGATCCGTTCTCTTGTTCTAGACAATAATTTCGTTACATGTAACATAGTACGCGCATCACTTAAGTTATTTTCACGGAGTTTCACCCTAAGCTGCAAAGCTACCTTCACTTGAAGGCTGTCAGGCCTACTATTAGGGCTTGACGGACTTGGAGAGTGTTAGAATAACGCAATGAACTAGATTGTGCCATACAGGGAGGTTTTGTGCTATGGTGCTGTACCCTCTATGAGCATGCACCTATCTAGCCTATAACATATACAAATATATTTGACATAGAGGACCTCTTAGAGAACCAGACCTGAGACAGCATGCGGGTGCGCAATGCTGTGTCCCACATCTCGTCGCGCGTGGGCTTCGTTGACTGGGCTGGCATTGCTGGAGGTGCTCCGGACGCAGAAAGAAGAAGACTCCACAGCTATGGAAGCCTTGAAGCCCAGAAAACGCCGCAGGCAATGCCTGTATCATGCACCTCGAAGCGACCTCTCAGAAGCTGCAGCTTACCCTGCGAAATCAGTAACGACAATGAGGACACAATTTACAGGATCGGACATTTCCGCTTGGATAACATGGGGAGCGACATAGGTGCCTCCATGAATGAATGTGTCAGATTCCAAGGCCTTGTGATAGTTCCTAGAGTTTTTTAAGTCCCAACAGCATGGACAGCAGGGAACAGCAGACCGGAAACGCCTGAGGGGTTTTTTGAAGAGCTCCTAACGAATGCCATCTCTGCACAGCGTGACAATGAATATGACTGCTGGGTGTCATCTGCCTTCCCTAAAAGTAATGGCTGCTCCTCAAGAAAGAGCTCCTTGCGCACTGGATTCTCTTTTGAAAAGAAATATGTCTGAAGGATCCGACTACTCTTCTGCACTTAGTCTGATTCACTTTTCCTGTTCAGAGAAATCTTGAAACCATGTCTGATTTTGCAGAGAAACGCAAAAAAGCATGTCTGAAAATTCAGAGAATTTTAACTCTGTAATCTGATTGCCGCAGAGAGGTTGTATTCCTCATCTACTGTATTCCTCATCATCTACCTCCTCTTCCAATCGCCACCGGAGCCCATGAGAGCAGCAAAAGGTGTCTTGGCATATCCCCCGCCTTGCTCTGTCCCTGCATGGTAGTGTACTTGGCAGCAAGTGCAGGTATGACATAGGAGAGCGGCGTGCTGGAGCCCATGGCGCGCTGCCAGAAAGTCCGCCGCCATCGTCATGCCCGTGCTGTGGAGGGGCAAGGGTGGGTGATAAGCGGGCTGGTAGGGGTAGGGGTAGGGGTAGGGGTGATGGTTCAGTGCATGCATGATTCGGCGGCAGATCAGAGCAGAAGGCGCTGGCCTCGTATAGGCAGTGGCAGAGCGGCGTGAGGATTCGATAGCAGGGGTTCGCGCCAGCGTAGAATGCAAGGTCTAAGCATTGCATGAACGGTGGGGCTTGGCTATACCCAACATGCTGTTCGTCACTGTCAGACTCGGCGTCGTGGTAGCCTCGCTGGCATGGCATCGTGAGGGTGGGAATTAAACAAGGAAAGGATTGGAGATAGGATGCCGATGAATAAGGGGACTACCGGTTTCTTGAAACCAAGAAACGTGAATAGTACAGTAACGAAGAAATGGAATATAAGTCAGCAAGAATCGAGTGGGGAGGGCTCGGTTGCCATTGACGAGCGATGCGTGAGCGAGACATCGTTATGGTTGGGGGGGGGGGGATGTGGTGTGGTTCTGTAATGCTACCCCGATTTCGTGCGAGCCTGTCCTTGACTCTGTTTTCTCCCCTAAGTCATGCTCAGCATAGAGCTGTATGTGACCGATCCAATTCGCTGCAAAACTGCTAAGTGTCCAGTCACAACTGCTCTAGCATATGTTGCCCAAGGGGGCTCGGTAAGGTTCACACGCACAGCACACATGGGAATGACGCGTGGTGGTGGCATGAAAAAGGGGATATTCGCGCTGAACCACGTACACCTGTAAGGCTCTGTTTCAGAGAACTCAAAACACTTGTCTAAAAAACAAAGAAAATGGTACACCAAGTTTGAAAATTTCAGAGAAATCTCAAAATATTGTCTAAGCCAATCAGAGTATTTCAAAACATTTGTCTGGGAAATCAGAGAAACCCAGAAAAGGCACTCTGAAAACCAGACAATCAGACAAAAAAAATCTGATAATTATGACTCTGCTTGCGCAGCCTTTATAGAGGTCCTCGCTCCAAGGAGGTTCGTAGAGTCAGTTTCTCAAGGCAAGTGCTGGTGCTTACTGTGTAAGCATGGTAAGAGTGTCACAAGACTAGGTAGCTAGGAAGCCATGAAAATGGCGAGAGGGTTTAGCTAGGAGAAAGTTGACGAGAGAAATGTGGGAGAGAATAGAAGAGAGAGGGATACAAGGAGGGGTGTTGTACCCTCTACAGTAAGTTTCAGCAACACCTACCAAGCCTACAATTATATAACATATATAATTTAACACACCCCCTAGGCTTGGTAATAGAAGAACCCACACACACCCACACCCCCTAATCTAGCACCTCCAATTCCCAGCAGCAACGACGACTACTCCGACATGGCCAATCCCACGGCCCGGGAGATGGCGACGACAGCGGCAGCGACGACAGTGACGGCAGCGGCAGCGGCGGCGGCGGCAACAGGCCAGCGGCGACAGCGGCGACGGCTTCGACGACAGCGGCCCCCACCCTCTCGGCGGCGTGGCCAAGCTTCGCGACGATTGGGAAGTCCCTTACGAGTTAGGCGTCAACTGTGGCGAGGAGGAGGGGACGCAGAGGAAAGGGGGGGGGGGGGGGGGGGGGGGGGAGGGGGGGGGAGAGGGCGTGGTCCAGCACCACGCCCGTGGCTGGCGTACGGACGTCAGGACCGGCGACGCCTAAAACGGGGCGCTGGCCGCTGCCGACCGTGCCGTACGCGCGCTGGCAGCACTTCGCTACGGCAACACGACGGCGCCGTCACGCCGCCACGGCTCGACGTCGACGACGCCACCACGGCGTGACGTCGATGTCACGACAACGCGACGCCACGGCAGCGCGACGAAACGGCCGCGGCAGCACGACGCGGCCGGCGGCACGACGACGCCGCCACAGCAGCACGACGCAGCCGCCATGGCAGCGCAAGAGGGAGAGGAGGAGTGCGCGGCGGAAGCGTAGGGAGCAGGCCGGGAAAGGGCAACCTGCTCTGATACCATATCACGAGACTAGGTAGCTAGGAAGCCATGAAAATGGCGAGCGGGTTTAGCTAGGAGAAAGTTGACAAGAGAAAAGTGGGAGAGAATAGAAGAGAGGGATACAAGGAGGGGTATTGTACCCTCTACAGTAAGTTTCAGTAACGCCTACCAAGCCTACAATTATATAACATATATAATTTAACAAAGAGGCCATTCTCTCCAGAGGCTCTTGCAAGCAGTGCACGTTAGCTCCTTTTTTGGATACTTGGGCATGCAAATGTTTGGTTGTCGAGCACTGTATGGAGCTTCTTGTATATATATATATATATAAATATAAATATAGAATATGGCTTGCATACAAAATATCATGCCTGGGTTGGCCTCAAGTTGGAAAATGAGCTTTTGCATCGTGCAAAATTCAATTTTTATATTTATCCCGAAGATTTTCGTCTTAATGGCCATTTCCTCAGGAACAAACAAACCAGCCTGGTCAAGTCCCTGTTTCAAAATTTCTTGTTGAGTTGTCTATCCAGAACCCAGGATCCAGGTTCAGTACCTAGAGAGTTCCTTATCTCGAGAGCTGATGTCCTAGGGAGGTTCGACTTCCGAGTCCTAGAGACTGCCAGTTCTCTGGTACCCAGAAATCAACTTCGGAGCCTTGGCTCGTTCGAAAGTTTTGGCGGGAAACGTTGTTTTTGAAAGTCAAAGGCGACAATTCGATGGGGTGTCGGCGCATAGATTGTGACGGAAGGCATCGCTCGCTCCCCCGGCGAGCCCTTGTTTCTGCCGATGGCGTGTTTGATCCAAGGATTCATAGCTGCCGGTTTCGTAGACTGCGGATCGTCTGATCTGTGCGTTGGAGAACAAGAAGCACTCCGAGCGGGTGGTGCTGTCAGTGTCCTTACAACAGCATTAGCATGTTACACTAGCAGCCATGGTCGTTCAGCCGTGTGGCTTCCTCCTCCCGCCGATCATGGCTCAGCCATGGATCGAGCTCGATGATCTGAATCTTGTCAGCTTCTCACCTCCTCTTCCTGATCACCAGTCGACCCATCTGCAAACCAAGCAATCGGCTGAGGACGACATGATTACAGTCCCGGTTCTCCAATCCGAAACCGACACGTGGCTGCTCGAACCGGACTTGTCTCGCCGTCAGTTCTGGCCGTCAGAATCTGCCATCCGTCAGCTAAGCCGTCGGCTGTCAGGCGCTTCTTCGACGGGGAGTCAGGCGGAAGGAGTTGTCCACGTGGCAGAGGAGCTGATGAACGGCTGTGGCCTCATCCACGTGCTTCCGATCGGCTCCCTGACCGGCTGCTGTGACGCGACAGCTACCGGCTGCTGTAACCCGTCAAGCAACGGCTGCTGTAACGCGACGAGCATCGGCTGCTCTAGCGTCGCAGCAAATCCCGGCTGTTGTAACGGCGCCGCAATCCCTGGCTGCTCTCTCAAACCCGAGCCAGCGGCGCAAGGTTCCACTGGAAGTGCCCTTCGTCAGCCTGAAAGGCTCATCCTCCGTGAGTCTGCTGCTGCTGATGAGCATGACACGTGTCATGGTACAGGCTCTGTTGCTGCCGAGTCTACTGAGGAGCAGGCTACATCTGAGTCTCTTGAAGAGTCAACTCAGCAGCAGCAGGAGCAGTCAACGGAGCAGCAGGAGGAGTCGACTGAGCAGCAGCAGCAGCAGCAGCAGCAGCAGCAGCAGCAGCAGCAGCAGCAGCAGCAGTCAGTTTCGCTTATCGTGGCGGAATCGCCTCCGCGTTCAGGGAGCACGAGGCAAGGAATCAGGAGTCCCAGTTGTCCGCTGACCATGAGCCTCCGAAGCAGAACGAAGGGAAGCACCGGCGATTCCCCGTCAGGTCCTTCACAGGGTGCTACACCCTTCGCAATTGATTCCACTCCAAGAACCCGCTCGAGTGAAAACCGCTCTTCAGAAGCAGTGGAGAAACGTCCCGTTAGAAGACTACGGCAACTGCTGCTTGGAGATCCTGCAGAGAGGCCTCAGCAGCTCGAGTCAGAGGACGCAGAGATGGCAAAACTCCAGGGTGAAGCTGATTTGAGGAAGAGAGAGACAACACAGTCTCGCAGGTCAGCAAGCCTGAAGGGGAAAAGCCTGAAGGAGATAGGCCTCAAGGAAGCCAGAATCAAGACGGGAAGAGTCAAGGCGATCAACCACGATCTTCCATCGCCACTGGCAATGAAAGAGGTGAAGGAGGGCCCAACAGCGCTGGCAGTCCTCACGCATCAGTCCCTGAACTCCCCAACGGCACGACGACCCATCAGATCCACGAGGAGCAAGATTCGATATGCCGAGGAGGAGCTTCAGGAAACGGCTCCAGTAAAGGCTGCAATCGAGGCTGCGGTTAAGGTCAAGCAGGAGGAGGAGCATCAGGAAGATGAAGAGGCTGGGGGGGGAAGAGAGTCTGCTGCTGCAGGGAAGGAGAACATTGGCCCTTCTGCTGACCCTTCAAGTGCTGGTCAGAAGGTGGGGAGAATGGCAGGAAGAAGTGGCATGCTTCAGAAGAGAAGACGATTCTCTGCTGGATCCAGCCAGGGTCAGAACCGAGAGGTGAAGAGGAAGAGGACTTTGCCGTCTGAAGCAGTGGCTATCATGTGGAGATGGATCGAAGACAACCCTCACCGGTTGTTCCTCAACGCCAATGAGAAGATTGATCTGGCGATGCAAACTGGGCTGACGAAAATCCAGGTGAGTTGATTGAGTTCCCGTCCTGTCCTGACTACAGTATGCAAAGCAAACATATTTACCATTTGTGGTGGTGGTTGGACTGATAGATTGTGAATGCTTTTTTGCAGGTGGAAAACTGGTTTTGTTACGCTAGGCGAAAGGGTCACATGGCTAGAGGTGACTCCCTGCGATCAGAGTCGTTTCCAGACACTGAAGAGTGACAAGTCAAGACGATGGGATGTGACGTGACAGGGTAGGGTACATACACCACTATTTTATTACAAGTTATCTTTTTTACAGGTGTGTATGTTTGGGTGGATCTGGTATTTGCAGCTGAATTAGAACATACGCAACTGATATACTATACAGTCTGCCATCCCTTCGGTGTTTCTCTAACCTTGGTAATCCATAAAAGTGTTCATGACACTCAACTGTTGTGAAAACTCCTACACAATAGCTAAGTGACTAGAAACAAGGCAGTACAGGAGTGATGTAGGGTTGGTGTCGAACCCTCTAAGAACTGTCAAACATGTGTATTTGTCATGTTTGTATAGACTGTATAGGGTCGCGTCTTAGAGGGTACAACACTTAGGTATATCTGTGTGTACTCTCACTCTATCATCCATTCACTTCTCTAATTTGATATGGTATCAGAGCGTAGGTTAGGATCCCCCCCCACCTACCGCTTCCGCTCGCCCCCCCCTAGCCCCGTCGTGCCCCTAGCCCCGTCGCGACCCCCCTAGGCTCGTCGCGCCCCTTCCTGGGCCCCATAGCGCCCCTCCTGGGCCCCGTCGCGCCCTTCATGGGCCCCGTCGCGCCCCTCCCATGCCTCGTCGCGCCCCTCCTGGACTCCGTAGCGCCCCTCCTGCGCCCCGTAGCGCCCCTCCTGGGCCCCGTCGCGCCCTTCCTGGGCCCTGTAGCGCCCCTCCTGGGCCCCGTCGCGCCCCTCCCAGGCCCCGTCGCGCCCCTCCTGGGCTCCGTAGCACCCCCTTGGTGCTTGGTGCTTCCGCCGTCGTTCCGTCGCCAGACGCCTCTGCTTCGCTTTCCTTCACCCTAGACTCTGGTGCTTCCCGGTGTTTCTTCCGCGACTTCACCACCCTGACGCCGCTTCCTGTTCCTGCTGCCGTTTCTCTCGCTGACCCCTCTGGCGGTCCGGTAGTCGCCCGCAATTCCACCACCCTTCCCTGTCCGGCGGTTCCTTCGGGCACTCTCACAGGTCTGCATATCCCCTCGTTCTCCAGGAACCTAGTTGGTGTCGGCTGCCTCCAGGACCTTGGCGTCACCACTACGTTCCCTGGTCACGAGCGGTATGCTGTCTGTACCGAGGCCGCCACTGGTGCCCCCCTGTCCACGTTCCCCCGGGACCCGGTGTCCGGCCTGTTCACTCTGGACACCGTGACCCCCCCGGCTGGAGCGCTCACCCAGGTTGCTGCCGCCTGCTCTTGTCGGTCCCTCACTCACCCGACCCTCCTTTGGCACCACCGCCTAGGTCACCCTGCGCTCCCGCGTCTGCGTCACATGTCCCAGCACGGTCTTGTCCTTGGTCTCCCAGGTTCTCTCCCTGCGTTTCCCTCCTCCCCAGCCCCACCTTGCACGCCTTGTGTCGAGGGTCGGCTTCGCCGTGCCCCTCACTCCTCCTCGTTTCCCCCTACCGCCGCGCCGCTGCAGACCCTGCACCTGGACGTCTGGGGCTCCGCCCCCGTCCTTGGGCCGCGTCGAGAGCGCTACTTCCTTGTGCTTGTCGACGACTTCACTCGTTACACCACAGTCTTTCCCCTGGAGCGCAAGGCCGACGTGCCTGGAGCTCTCATCCCCTGGCTTGTCTCTGCGCGTGTCCACCGCGGTCTCCCTGTCTTGCGTCTTCACTCAGACCGTGGTGGCGAGTTTGCCTCAGGTGTCCTTGGTCGCTTTTGTCGTGCAGAGGGCATCACCCAGACGTTCACCCTACCGGACTCCCCACAGCAGAATGGGGTCGCTGAGCGACGCATCGGTTTGGTCATGGAGGTGACTCGCACCTCCATGATCCATGCCGGTGCACCCCATTTTCTGTAGCCGTTCGCTGTGCGCTACGCTTCTCACCAGCTTAACTTGTGGCCGCACCCTCAGCAGCCGCAGGTTTCGCCGATCTGTCTTTGGACTGGGTCTCCTGGTGACGCGTCTGCGTTCCACGTCTGGGGCTGCCTTGCTCATGTCCGTGCCTCCGGCACGGACAAGCTCACTGCCCGCACCCTTCCCTGTGTCTTCCTCGGTTTTCCCCTTGACGCGTCCGACTGGCACTTTTACCACCCGCCGTCTCACCGCTTCTTTCACTCTCGTGACGTCACCTTTGACGAGTCTGTCTCCTACTACCGTCGCTTCCCCCACCGTGGTCCCCCGGTTACCCCCCCCCCTGTTCCTGGTCACTCCTTCCCCGGTCGTCCCTGCCCCTCCTCCTCCTCCCCATCCCGCCCCCTCTGGTGTGTCCCACGTCACCCCGCTTCCGTCGGTGGACCCGGTTGAGGAGTCTTCTGACTCTGGTGGCCCTCCTGTTCAGTCCTCGCCGGCCGCCCCTCCCTTGGCGTCCTCTCCCCAGTCCCCCCCTCCACCCCCGCTGCCGCCGCTGCAGCCGTCGTTGTCGCAGCCGCCGCCGCCGCCGCCGTCGCAGCACCCGTTCGCTGACTCTGGGGGTGCTCGTCCCGGTAGCCCTGGGGGTGGTCCCCCTGGGGGTGCTAGTGTGGAGAGTGCCGGTGGTAGTCGAGGAGCAGCTTGCGGTCCAGGTGTCACCGTTGTGCCGCCGCAGCAGCAGTCCCCGCCGGTGTCAGCCCTTCGCCTGCTCGGCCTTCCGTCCCCCGACCCTGCGTCGGTTCCTCCCCGACCGTCTCCTCCTCTTCCTGTCTACGGCCCTGTCTTCCCTCCACCGGACTCGTCCCCTGCCCGTCTCCCCCCTCGTTCCCCTCCTGTGTCCCCTCCTCTGTCTCCTGATCCGACTCCTCCGTCGCACGTCTGATCTCACCGTCCCTCCCGTGCTCGTCCTACCTCGCCTGTCTTGCGCTCCCACCCTACGTTGCTTCGTTCCCACGCGTCTCGTCCTCCCCTTCTGCCGTCGCCTCCTCCGTCCTCCCTTGTTGTTGCACCCCCCCCGCTGTCTGACTACCTTCGTGCCGCTTGTCCCCTTGTTCCTCGGGTCCTTGCCTCTCTCGTTACCGACCCGTCTATTCCGGCCTCGTGCCTTGACGCTCTTGTCGCTGCTGTCGCTGACTTTTAGACAACCCTGAAAAATTCGTCTGATCGTTAAGAGCGATGTTTTTATTTTTGTCTGAAATTGAAGACAGCGTATAATATTTCGTATGAGTCTGCAGTGAGCTGGGCAGCAGTGGCCGTGGTCGCCAGGGTGGTAGGGGTGGTGGCGCAGGTAGTGGTGTTGGTGGTCGTAAGAGTAGTCCGTCTGGGGGGACTAGCATTGGTGGTCAGGAGCAGCAGCCCCAGCCGCAGCAGGAGCAGCTCGCACCGCAGCCGCCGTCCCAGCAGCAGCCGCCATCCCAGCCGTAGCCCCCGCAGCAGTGGGCTCGCCTCCCGCCTGGTTGGCCCGGCACCTCAGGAGGTGGTGGCAGTGGTGGCGGCCCGCGCAGCTTGGCGTCTACCAGCGGCTCCGGTGCTGTGACCTGGCAGTACCAGCTTTAGACCGGGCCCCTTCGCGGCACCCTGTGCCGCCGCCCGCACCCGACTGCCCGCTGTTTCCGCCGCCTTGACGATCTGTTTCGTCGTCGCTTTGGCCCGGCCCTGGACCTCCCTGACTGGCACAGCCTGCTCCGCCAGGGCGTGCCGATCTTTGAGTTAGACATGGATCAGATAGGTGCTGCTTTGCATGCTTTGTATTCTAACGCTGCTAGCGTTGCTGGATCTTATTATCCTGTGTTCTCTAGTTTAGGTGTTGCACCGCTGTGTAGCCTAGCCTCCCCTGCTGCGTCAGGCGTAGGACTGCCTAGATTGTCTAGCCTCGTCTCTGCACCGGCTCCGTTCCCTGCCCCCGCCACTGCGGCGCTGTCCTTCACTCTCGACTCCGGTGCTTCTGCCTGCTTCTTCCGCGACCGATCCGCGCTCACGCCGCTTGCTACGCCAGCTGTCGTCTCTCTCGCTGACCCCTCTGCGGGTCCTGTCGTCGCTCGCAGTTCTACGTCCCTTCTCTGTCCAGTAGTTCCCTCGGGCTCCCTTACAGGCCTCCACGTTCCCTCATTCTCGAGGAACCTGGTTGGTGTCGGCTGTCTCCAGGACCTCGGCGTCACCACCACGTTCCTCGGGCACGAGCGGTTCGCTGTCTGTTCTGAGGCTGTCTCAGGTTCCCCCCTTGCGACGTTCCCCCGGGACCCGGTGTTCGGTCTGTTTACCCTAGACACCGCTTCCTCTCCGGTTGGTGCGTCCTCCCAGGTTGCTGCAGCCTGCTCGTGTCGTTCCCTCACTCACCCGTCCCTTCTCTGGCACCACCGCTTAGGTCACCCTGCTCTCCCTCGTCTGCGTCACATGTCCCAGCACGGACTTGTCTTAGGTCTCCCCGCGTCGCTCCCCGCCCTTCCTCCCTCGACTGCGCCACCGTGCACGCCTTGTGTCGAGGGCCGGCTCCGCCGTGCCCCACACTCCTCCTGGCTTCGCCCGACTACTGCCCCCCTTCAGACCCTGCACCTGGACGTTTGGGGCCCCGCCCCCGTCCCCGGCCCGCGTGGTGAGCGCTACTTCCTTGTGCTTGTCGATGACTACACGCAATACACCACGGTGTTTCCCCTAGAGTGGAAGGCCGACGTGCCCGACGTTCTTCTCCCGTGGGTTGTGGCTGCGCGACTCCACCGCGGTCTCCCCGTGTTGTGTCTCCACTCTGACCGTGGCGGCGAGTTCGCCTCTGGTCGGCTTGGACAGTTCTGTCGTGCGGAGGGCATCACCCAGTCGTACACCTTGCCGGACTCGCCACAGCAAAATGGGGTTGCAGAGCGCCGCATCGGCTTGGTCATGGAGGTCGCTCGTACCTCCATGATCCATGCTGATGCCCCCCATTTTCTATGGCCGTTCGCTGTTCGCTACGCTGCTCACCAGCTTAACCTGTGGCCACGCTCCCAGCGGCCGCAGGTTTCGCCGACCCTCCTTCGGACCGGGTCCCCCGGTGACGCGCCAACGTTCCACGTCTGGGGCTGCCTTGCTCACGTTCGTGCCTCTGGCACGGACAAGCTCACTGCCCGCACTGTCCCTTGTGTCTTCCTAGGTTTTCCCCTGGACTCGTCTGACAGGCTTTTCTACCACCCGCCGTCTCACCGCTTTCTCCACTCTCGTGACGTCACCTTTGACGAGTCTGTCTCCTTCTACCGCCACTTTCCCTCACCGAGGTCTCCCGGTTGCCCCGCCCCTGTTCCTCGCTCCCTCTCCCCCGATAGCCCCTGC